AATTGCAAAGCATCACTTTCTGCAGATGGAGTCCAGGTTTTGGGGTCGGAAGTGGTTTATGTCTAGGACTGAGCCATTGTTTTTGGCATTTAATATTCGCATAGAAAATCCATTTTTCATCATCGGTGACAATTCTGTCCAAAAATGGTTCACGCGCATTCTGCAAAAGAAGAGATGAAGCAAAGTTCACACGTTGGAAACGATGATCATCAGACAGTTCGTGAGGCACCCAAACACCTTTTTTATGAAGTTTTCCCACATTCCTTAGATGTTTTCATATTATTTCATGAGAGACATGCAATTTCAAGGCCATTTCACGAATATGTTACCTTGGATTAGACTCAACAAGCATCTTCAGAGCATCAATATCAATTCCAACATATCGCCCCCTGCCATCACAGTTTTTAAGGCTAAAGTCACCTTGAACGAAATTTGCTGAACCGTCGTTTATACTTACGAACGTTCAAAACATTTCCATAAACTTCTTTGTGGCTACGGAGGCATTGCTTCTTTCTTGTATTCAAACAGCATTACATGCCGAATGTGTGTCTCATCGTGTGCCATCACTATGAGGGATTAAAGTATTCTTAACATTACACATTATATAGGGTACACTAACGTGGCGTGATGTACGTTTTTTGAGGGGTGGTTAATGAAAATGTTCCAAAATGCAACATTAATTTCTTTACAACCTAATACCTTATCAGTGAGCATTAGTGATGAGTTTTCTTTGGAAACAGTAGGAATCCATACAGTATATTAGTGAATTGTTTTCTACGTGTTCAAGTTTAATCTAAATTCATATGATTTACTTAGAAAATGATAAAAAAAAAAAGCAATAACAGCAACTTTTACAGTAAACAAGTTAAAATTTTTATGATTGAAATGCTTTGACCCATAGTATCAGTCACCATAAGGTAAGAGTTACATTCAAAAATGCAGTGAAATTCCAAAGAATGTTACAGGCTCTTGATGGTGAGGACAAGTTTGTAGTTTTCATTAATGTTTTTTTTAATAAAATGACATGGATGATATATTAATACAGATTAAGGGGGTAGTTACTGTATATTTATTTAGCATTACCTTTGATTACTTTATAGGTAATGCTCAAGCTGTTTTCTTCTGTTGATCCCCTTTTTAGGGATTTTTTTTCTCTGATACATCCAAAACTTGCGAGGGTCTTTTAGGATGTTTCTTAAGTCTGAGGTTCATTTCTCTCCAAGCGTTTCCAGTATAAAAGTATTTACATGAACTGGATTTTATTTTATAAATGACCTTGTTGTTTTATTTTCAGTGTGGTAATTGTTAGTAATAAGGCTCTTGATTTCAATACCTAATTTTTGTTTGATTATGGTATTCATGTCAATGTTGTATTTCTTTGTAAGTTGTTTCCATAATCCAATTAAGTTTTTGCTGATATGTTCGAAGTAAAGATGTTTTCACCTTTAATATTTGTATTTTTTTTTTTGCTTATTTGCATTTTTTTTAACTTGTATGTTTATATTAATTCAATTATTTTTTTAACACTAACACCTACAAACATGTCCTCACCATCACAAATCTGTAACATTCTCTGGAATTCAACTGCCTTTTTTTATTTAAATCTTACCTGACAATGGCCTGGTACTATGAATTAAAATTTTGTAATCATTAAAATCAGAACCTACCTACTGTAAAAGTTGCTGTTTTTGTATTTTTTAATTAATTATTTGGTTCAGTAGATTCCTAACTAAACATTATATATAAATTGTTTGTATTATAATTGAAAACTTTTTTTAAAGCTACACTGTCAGTTTCAGTGTGTTTAGGGGAATATACCCCATGAATACTGTATAATTATATATATAAATCTGTTAAAAGTTGTGCAGAAGCTGCTATGGAGAAAGTAGTAAAAAAATCATGAAACAAACACCATTATCATGGTGATATTTATTTATTGTTTAAGTGATTTCTCCTAAGTGTATACCAGCAAAATTATATTAAAAATTATGATGTACTTTTACTAAACAAATACCTTCAATCACATACAAATTATAAATTCACCAGCTAAACCACTGTCATAAATACAAATAATATTATACAGTGGTTTTAGACTTTTACTTGAATAGAATATGTGGGATAAAACTGGCATATTTTTGTTGTTTAATGACTGTTAAAACAGAACCTTTTCCACAGTTGTAACTAAGAATTATTTTAAGTCCTCAATTTTGATTGATATTCCCATGTATGTTTTAGTTTCTCTGTACATTACCAGTTACACTTCTCTCTGTAAAGTTAAGAAAAATTAGAAACTACTTCAAATGGCAATTCCAATAAAGCATTATGGCTCAAGTGTGATAAATGCTGCTTATCATTAAATTAGTACCAAGTCTGATATAAATCACATTGTAGCTAATATAAACATACAAGTTACAGTACTGAGTATCAGTTATGTTGATCATTGACCTATAAGCAAAGCTAAATAAGTTTTTCAACTTAAAGAAGTCTATTTAAGTTGGAGTTGTGTAAGTTTTTCTGAGAATGCTTGTGTACCATAAAAATAAACGCATTTTGAGTAAAAGAAATAATTACTGATGACACTAAGGTTTCACTTAATGAGGAAAAAGATACACTTGTTTACTTTTGATGCTGCAATCCAGTGCACAAAATGATGAAAAAGGCTAGCAAAGGTAAGAGGTAAGGTACAAGTTTTCACTGATAAAATATTGTTGTAAAGTATGTGGAGTTATAATCCTCATTTACAAACTATTTCTTCCAATATATATAAACACATGTATACAGAATACATTAATACTCCAATTAAAATATATTAGTATTTAAACTTAATAAAGTAAAAGGAATGTAAACTTTCTATATTGGCCTTGTTTAAAATATTACTCTAACATAAGGACCACAAGGAGCATATTAGTTCTTCAAGGCAGTCCTTGTACAGCCACCATTAACAAAAGTACAAATTTAAACCCACCCATTATTTTTCAGAAAGTCACTGATTTCAATCTTAAACTCCTCTAAAGTGCTGATTCCACTACTGTTAGAAAAATACAATTGGCTTAACTGGAGCTTAGCTTGTCTTTTCAAAATCTTAAAACTGTGTTCTTTTGTGCTATTATTTTCAGTGTATAGCACAAAGAAATCAGAGGCCTTTATCCTCTCAATCCTCCAGAAAATATTGCAAAATTCAATCAGATCACCTCTTCTTCTTCTTTTCTCAAGAGAAAACAAGTTAAGATATTTTAAGCTATCCCTATAAGGTAACTCACTGAATCTTCCTAGTAGACCTCTTCTGAGTAGGCTACTTCCAATATCCTTTCATAGGTAAGTACAGTGTTGCAAATGAAGTCTATATATTGTTTGTATAGAAAGATAATTACCTTTTTTCACTTGTAATTAGTATGTCTATAAATATAACTTAAAATTCTATTAGCTTTACTACTAGCAACAAAACACTGCTTCAATGACTTAAGTGACTTATTCACTACTATGTCAAGATCCTTTTTTTTCAGTCATGCTATTTAGTGAATTGCCATCTATGTTAGATGTATGATCCAAATCACAATAACCCAAATGCATTAGCTTCATTTACCTTAATTAAAGGTCATTTTCTAAATACTTGTCCAACTTAAAAATTGATTTAACTCATTCTGTAATACCTCAACATCCTTAATATACAAAAGTAGAGAGAAGAACCTCACCACATACTAATTTAATGCGTTAAGTGTTTCAACTTCGTGTGGGTCAACTAATCAATATTTTTTTAACGTGATTTTAATTGTGCGTTCATTGCCTTTACTTTAGAACTTCTTAATCCCAGTTTGAATTGGGAATTGCAGAGCCTTTGTTCAACAGACATTTCAATGACTTAATGACTTTGATAATTTTGTTTCTATCAAGCACAATAAAACAAACAATATCTGACCCAAAACATAGAGTGAGAACAAGGATAAATTTATTTGAAATATCTAACTCTTATAAACATTTCCAAGGCTCTTAGACAGAAACATGTACTCTTGTATAGACATCTATTTCATAGAATTAACTTGTCATAATTTTTTGAGCAAAAATATTTGTGATTTAACTATATTTTAATACTGATGGTATTATTTATGATAGTGTTGGTTACTAGGTTTAGTAAAATAATGTAATAATTATAATTGCTCTAATAACTGTGTTACGTTACACAAACTGAATAGTTTTGCATATAAAAGCCGAATAACTGTCCTTACTTGTGAAGAGAAAATAAATTTTCCTTGGCATGTGACAAGAGAGCCATCTTTCAAAGACTTTAGGAGAGTTGATTTTCAGGTTGTGAAGATAAATATTTTAATTCTCACATTGTGATTATACTCAAGACCTGATAGTAGGAGAGCAGTTGCAAGTTGTGACAATAAATGAACTATTTATAAGGTGTGTGTGTTAGTAAGTCGATTGTCTCTTATATTGTGACACTAAGTGGGCTATTTCTCATGCTGCAACATTGTAAATAGATTTGCTAAACTGGCTGGTGTTTCACTGGTTCTTGGTTTGATTACTGTTAGTTTTTATGCATTGAAGATTGTTCAAACTAGCCTACATTTAGTAACACTGACTGTTTAAAGTTATGATGAACTGTGACAGGTCTTTTATGGATCAAAATGGACATTGCTTCTTTATAAGGTTATGATATGTCTATATTATAAAGCAGTTAATGTTTGTTTGTGAGAAAAAATTTTCCAACTTCCTGCCCTCTGATCACCGTGGGTATATCCCAGAGGGATCCTTAAACCTTATACTGCATTCATTTTCCAATGTTTGAGTTTGACAACTATTTAAATTCTTCCAGTTGCTTTGTTTTAGTGCCTATTTCCTGAGCTCTGGTTGCCATGAAACTTTCACGGGTTCTTGGGTATGGACTAGATCTCCTACTAATATAAAGAAACTGGCCAGTATGAATTAATTTCTAGAAAAGTATATGCCAGTATTTAATATATTTGCAAGCATGCTGTCTTCCAATTTCCATGAAGCAAATGAACTAAATGCCTATGTAGCATGAGGACCTGAGCTAGTTACTTTTAATGTTAAGATGCATAATGACTAATCTCTTGTGGTTCATGTTATGACAAATGACATTAACTGCTCATTGGGCAATGATGCACTATGACTGATCTCCTGTATTACATGTAAATTGTAATTTCCATGCTTGTTTGTAAAACGTAATACATTATGGCTGATCTTTTTGGAGATTATATTGTAATAAATGACATTAAATATAAAATTATAATGCATTATGACTAGTCTCTTATGAATCATATTGTTAAGACTGACATTGCCTGTTCTTACGACCTGGATTTGCAATGACTGATCTCATGTTTCATATTGTGATGAATGAATTTGCACTGTAACTGGTCTTTTGTGAATTAGATTGTGATTTCTAACAAGTATATACAATTATAATGCACTGTTTGTGAATCATATTGTGATTACTGACATTACTGAATTATTCTGCTATGATGTACTGTTTGTGAATCATATTGTGATTACTGACATTACTGAATTATTCTGCTATGATGTACTGTTTGTGAATCATATTGTGATTACTGACATTACTGAATTATTCTGCTATGATGTACTGTTTATGAATCATATTGTGATGAATAACATTACTGAATTATTCTGCTATGATGTACTGTTTATGAATCATATTGTGATTACTGACATTACTGAATTATTCTGCTATGATGTACTGTTTGTGAATCATATTGTGATTACTGACATTACTGCCTTATTCTGCTATGATGTACTGTTTGTGAATCATATTGTGATTACTGACATTACTGCCTTATTCTGCTATGATGCACTGTTTGTGAATCATATTGTGATTCACAAACATTGATTGCTTCTTAGGCTATTATACGTTGAGATACATTGTGACTTGTTTCCTGCTGAGATATTTTGTGTTTACTGACATTGTGTCTTCCTTGCATAGAGGGTAAGTAAGGAACCAACTCACTGGGAGCAACAAAGCTTAATTCATGGATCTTTTGTTCATTATCTGAATTGGTATCTTCTTCCTGTAAAAGATAAAAAAATGTTGTTTTATAAATACTTTCTTATCAATCTTAAAACCTGAATTTTACTATTATGTCTAATACATTGTTAAAACCAGTTTTTATAGAACAAACACTAGTATATAAGTATTGTATGCATAAATTTTTAATAAGGCCAGGTAATTGACTTTCAGTTCTTCAAAAGCTAAATGTACACGTTTATATAAGAAGTGTGCATAATTTTGCATGTGACAGATCACTCATTCATGGGAAAAGCAAAACTTATAGAGCTCTATAGCTAGCAAACCTGTCACAGAAAACAGAAATTAGTTTAATTAGTCCTTAAAGATTATTCAGTAATATTATTAGAGATGCCATTTGCTCTTTGTAGAGGAGAAAATTCTCCTTGGGCCTTCCAATTTCCAGGTCCTAAGAAACCAATTAAAGTGATGTGATAGTCGAGTATACAATTAATGCACTATTAATTAGGGAAAATGTTTTGTTAGTATGTACAATGCAAGCATTTAAACAGTAATAATATAACTTCTGATTTTTAAAATATTAAAATATCTTTCTCAAGTACTAATCCTTCAAGTAGTGTGAAGATCTACATCTTCACTCTCCACCCTACCATTTACCATGTTACATATTTTGATTTCCTACTGCAATTACATATCACCCCCTCATCCCAATATTCAATAAATCACCCAAATATTTTAAGACAAATATTTATGTTTTAAAACAAATTTATTTCTAAACTAAATCCTTAAGGGCTAGACATACCAAATACCAAATGTCCTGATTCTAACAAATATAAATGCAAGCAATGTTAAGTGACCAATCATGTACACTAAATTATATTTGAAAAATGATGTAAGTTATTTTGTGCATGTCTAACGTACAGTACTAAACCTCTATATAAAGTTCTATAGCTAAGCCAGCCTTGTGGTATTTGTTGGTTATGGTAGGGTTGCTCAAGAAAAACAAGTAGTTAGTGAGCAACACCAATTGACCAAAAACAATATAACTGTGCTGGGATATTTTCTATTTTCATCAAGACCTCTTGATTTTTTACTTTAACATGAAATGAAAAAATGAAATATTTCAAAGATAATTAGTTTTATCAAATCATAAAGTATTGAAATAATGTAGAGGGGGAAAGATTAATTAAAAATAGTTTTTGTGCTCAATATTATCTTTTCTTTGTAATTAAAAGTTTATATCTTGTTTGTTTGCTGTAAAACACAAAGCTACACAATGGGTTATCTGTCCTGTGCCCATTATGAGTATGAAAACCCAGTTTTTAGCATTATAAGTCTTCAGACATACTGTTGAACCACTGGGGGGCAATTTATATATCTATACTATATAACATAACATAATGTTTAGGAACAACAAGGGACCTATTGATCCATCTCAGCTGTCCAATCCTCTAAATGAAAATAAAACTATTAAAGAGAAATCTTAAAACCAGCCCTTATCGCTCATGTATTTAACAAGCTTTCTTTTAAACTCACTTATATTTACTGCTTCCACAATATCTAAAGTTGACCCATTACAGAGGCCAACCATCCTGTTAGAAAAAGAAAACTGTCTTAGCTGAAGATGACTCCTACCTTGCCTAAATTTGTATTTGTGTCCCCTAGTCATACTATTCTTGCTATTAAGTACGAAAAAAGATGATGCATCAACATTATCAATCCCCTTTACAATCTTAAACACCTCAACCAGATCCCCACTAACTCTTTTTTTTTTTTCAAAAGAAAACAATTTCAAATATCTTAATTTTTCCTCATATGACAAACCCTTCATCCTAGGCACCATTCTAGTAACCCTCCTCTGAACCCTTTCCAATAATTCAATGTCCTTTCTAAGGTAAGGAGCCCAATACTGAACACAATACTACAAATGTGGCCAAACCAATGACCTATATAATGAAATTATAACCTTTTTAGACTTGGATTCAATATTTCTGTAAATACACTAAAATCCTACTTGCCCTAGCAACAGCACATTGCTTAGATAGCTTAAGAGATTGATCAACCATTACACCAAGATTCCTTTCTTTCATGACACTGCTAAGATTATTCCCATCCAGATTATACCTATAATTCAAATTAGGGTAACCCACATGCATTATCTTG